AGCGTCTTTCTCTCTTCATCAGACAATGGTTGAAGTTTCATCTTGCTAAGCATGGAGCGTTCCAAGATATCCAACTCTGGAACATCACCGACACCGCGCAGAGCATCAAGCGTAAACAGGCCAACGTATGTATTCTTTCCAGATAGCCTGACAATGTACTTGCCATTCATCGTAAACTTAGTTGCATACTCAAGCATGTCGTTATTAGGATGAATCATCCATCCTCTGTCCTTCGCACGTGCTATGTCTTTCTCTGATCTAATGTTATGCACCGTTGTGGCCAGTGCAAATGTATGTTCATCTTTTCCATCCTTAGAAACGTCTACATTAGAAGATGGCTCTGCATTTTTGGGCATCTCTGAATGCCTTTTCTTTCGAGAAGTCTTCTTCTCATCATCCTTAGATGACTTTTTATGAGATAGTTTTTCATCAGGGTTATCCTTAGAGGTATCATCTCCAGATTCTACATCAGGTCTGTTATTGGACTTGCCATCATCAGAGTCTTTATCATCAGGGGAATCATCGTCAGAGCCAGCATCATCAGACGTATCACCATCATCTGTATCATCGTCAGAATTCTCATCAGCAGAAGACTCTTCTATTTTTTCTACATCAGCAGGAGTTGCCTCTTGGAGTCCCATCTTTTGTAATATACGTACCTCTTTGTCAGATAATTTCGGTACAGGAAGATTTTTCCCCATGAGCTCAGGTGGACACAATACAATGTAGAGGTCCTTTTCCTTCAGCTTAATAATGTACTTGCCATTTACAGTATAGTTTTTTGCATACAGGAAAGCTGGATTAGTTGCATAACGCATCCATATGCCTGTATTAGCGAGTGGTACATTTTTCTTGGACGTTATGTCAACTACCTTTGGACTCAACGGAAAGGAGACGGCAATTATATCTTCTTCATCATCATCGGACGGCTCCTCATCCGATAACTCCTGCTTGTTTCTCTTTCGCTTCTTTGGTTCTTCATCCTCGGAAGTCATATCATCATCTGAAGGGACAAACTCAGGAGTATGTGTCTTCTTGGTTATCTTGGAAGACTTGGTACGCTTGTTGGCAGGTGCCTTATTGTTACTGCTTTTCATATGACCTTTATGCTGCTCTCGATGACGTCCACAGTAAGTTTCACCAAGTTTGGCTACACTACCACAATTAGCGCCCTTAATGGTTGTGCCTTGACACTTGCGCGCAGGATCGTGGACATAACAATGCATGCCTTCATCATCAACTTCCTTCATGCATTTGCGCTTGGACTTGGTGCACTTTGCACCACAAAAGTAGTATCTCTCTACTCCCTCATCCTCATCAAGCGCCTTAAAGATCTTATTTGCATCTTTCTTGGTAAACTCCACTCCCTTCTTAGAAGAAAATGTCTCGAAGGCCTTGGTGATGAGCTCGATTGTAAGCTGAACGTACTTCATGTTTTTGGATATGAACGATATAGATTGTACTTGTGGTATGGTGGGTGTGAATGACTTTTCAGTTTATGTGTGGTAGATTGCAGCTGCTTAGTACACTGATATAAAGAATTGCAATAAAAGATGGATGTATAGGTATGGATGGTTGTATAGATATGGATAATGGTTGGTTGGTTACTAGATAAGATAAAGATTAAGCAAGAGGGAAGTGGAGTCCTTTATTTATACTAATTCATGGGACACTGCCACACTGGATATTAATAGCGCTTGCTTATTAACACTGCTTGGCGCTTAGTAACAAAAGAGTTTTAAAAAGGCATCTAAGTGGTTAATAACGTAGTGTTCCTCGTATGACGTAGATCTTGCTTATTAAGACTGCTTGGCGTTAAAGACGGGGTTTAAAAATGGTTAAGAATGTAGTATTCTTTTATGACGTAGGTTTGTACATGTGTTTATCCTCTTTGTTAAATAAAAAGGAATGTTGTAGAATAGCATAGAATAGCATCCGATCTACTACAATAATACCATGACTTTTAATAATAGATACCGGTGCATATTAGCGTCTAGGCAGTTAATACCGTATCTCAACGCTGACTAAATAGGCTATGTATGTCTATTCTTTTAAAAACCTGCAATAAGTCTACAAATTACCATTAACATCCATTTGTCGCTTCGTACCTCTAAGCTCAATGGAAAGACCGGGTTGCATTATTACTGCTTGATCCATTGGTGTGTCCTCATCAACATTAACATCAACATCACCATGAAGATTAATACCAAGAAATTTGTTCTGGAGTTGTGCCATTGTATTTCCATCCTCCACTAGCGCACCAACATCAACATATCCCATTGGTTGCTCAACGTCGTTCTCTGTTGTCGGATACTCGAATCCTTCGCGAAGCCAAGCTGTATGAATTGGTTCTGCAGAAATCTTCAACAAAGCAACCATCTTTTTCATGTTTAAGAGTAACAAAGATAACTTCAACTGCAAATTATATGTTTGTTTCTTATCCACCAACACAGGAGTACGGTTGTTGTGTTTCTCAAATGTGGAACCAAGGTCTGCAAACAGAGATTCCATCTGCGAGCGGAAACTACCAAAGGTGGTATTGTATAACGCTTCTTCCTGTGTAAGTTCCTTGTTCTTCTGTTTACGGTATGGATGAGCGAAATTTTGGACTCTAAGAATATCAGACTCATCTATAAGCCTCCTTAAGAACTGTGGATACCCTCCATCGAGAGCAATGCAATCCATCTCATGCACTCTCTTGTCCAACTTCATCGTTAGCAGCATTGTTCCATCAGCATTGTTCTTGCAAGATGCAGATTTGGAGACAAATAAAGCCATGCCATTACAATCCATTGCTACCTGTGTGCGTAATCCTGACTTTTTCAGCTTGTAAGAGTACATATCAGCACTACTCTCACCTTTGTATGTTGCTCTTGTATCATGACCATCAAGATGCAATGTAACATGCTTAAATAATGGAGGATTCTTTTCCTTTGCAGACAAAAGGCGTATTTTAATTGTGGAGAACATTGTTGCAATACAGTTGGTGATGTACTTGTTGTGCAAGGTATATTCTTTCTTATAAAACACAGAGTGCATTGCATGAAAACTACTTTTTGGCATGTGTGGTTCCATTGCTTCCATAGACAGTCCTTTGACAAGATGATAGAGCATTAAAAGACCTTTCTCCACTTCTTTGTATGGACCAGGATACTTAACCTTTGGCCAGATGTCAACAAGAAAGAAGTACACTGGAATAGGACCAAGGCGTCGATTTAGGGTTTCTTTTATTTCTGGCATATACCCAATTTCCTTGCTTACAGTACGATGATTATTACGTGGTGTAATTGTTGGCCATCCAGCGTCAAGGAAAGTCCAATGGTCATCAAGCAGTTGTTGGAAGTGTTTTGTTAGATCCATAATAATATTTATGTATTGGATTGTCATGACGTTAACCAACAATAACAATTTTTTAAAAAGGCTTATACTTAACTGTATACACAACAGCATGTAGGATGGTATCTATCATACAGCAAGCACATAGTTGAGAATACAAATATATTTTTATATTTTATTCGGTAGCGGCCCCTTCATGTGCAGAGGATATAAAAAGGCATATAAAAAATATCCAAAGTCCAAGGAACGGAGTGTTGACTTCCATAACTGGCATATCTCTTCATAGTGGGCAACAGAACACAGAATAAAATAGCAATAGACAGCACAAGAATTTTTAAAATGTAATCTCTCCCCTGTATTTCACGACAAAGATACAGTTGAGAATACAAGTGCTTTAGATGATCACATACAAGAACTACTCTGTCGAATCTTGCAGTGAGGGTTACAGTTTAATAGTAGATGGACATATTCAAGAGTTTGGTGTGCGAAAAATAAGAAGACTTTGTTGTTTGGAGAATGTAGTTGTGTTTAGTAGGATAATCGCGCAAGGAATGTTACAGTGGTTGTTTTAAATGGTTGATATCATACATACACTCTCCTCTAATGGACGCGGTGGATATCGTCAAGATCTGCAGAGATGTAACAAACACCATATGATAATTTGGACTTGAAAGGCCTCCATAGTTGAGAATACAAATATATTTTTATATTTTATTCGGTAGCGGCCCCTTCATGTGCAGAGGATATAAAAAGGCATATAAAAAATATCCAAAGCCCAAGGAACGGAGTGTTTACTTCCATAACTGACATATCTCTTCATAGTGGGCAACAGAACACAGAATAAAATAGCAATAGACAGCACAAGAATTTTTAAAATGTAATCTCTCCCCTGTATTTCGCCCCAAAGATACAGTTGAGAGTACAAGTGCTTTAGATGATGACATACAAGAACTACTCTGTCGAATCTTGCAGTGAGGGTTACAGGTTAATAGTAGATGGACATATTCAAGAGTGTGGTGTGCGAAAAATAAGAAGACTTTGTTGTTTGGAGAATAGGTTGGTGTTTAGTAGGATAGTTAAACAAAAAATGTTACAATGGTTGTCTTATATGCTTGGTATCATATATACATTCTCATCCCATAGTCGCTATGGATATTGTCGAGATCTACAGAGATGTAACAAACACCATATGATAACTTGGACCTGAAAGGCCTCCTCTCGTCCCCGTTCTATACTTCTCTGTCCCAGTCTTCGCCTGTTGCAGTGAATTGGCACGTGGAGAAACGCATCTCTCAAATCGATACTGGTAAGAAAATCGTTCCTTTTTATTAGGTGAACTACCTGGGAGATAGTCTCCATTTTGAAAGGTCGAATCGGCAGGTACTGATTCAAGCGACGCAGGTTCAACACCGGGCGTAGTTCTCCTGTCTTCTTCGGAATCACGAACAACTGACTTGAAAAACCGGGTCCAGTGCTGGGTTCGATCGCATTCTTGCTCAACAAATCGGACACTTCTTTGTCGATGCTCGCCATTGCTTCCTCCGACATCGGGTGTGGCGGGGGATGTGTTGTCGATGTTGGTGGTGGTGACTCGAAGGGGATCCTGTAGCCGTCCTTGATAATGTCGAGGATGAGGGGCTCTTGGGTAACGCTCTTCCAGGCTCCTAAGAATCCTTTGAGCCGCCCTCCAACCTTGGGGATCTGTCGTTCCTGCGGGAGGTGCTTCGTCCGCGCTGTTGGCTGTTCCGCCTTTGGTTTCCGGAGTTCCTCTGAAAAGAAGAGGAGGAACGGTTGCTATTATTGAAATCCCGACCTGAGCGGCTCTGTGAGCGGCGGTCCTGGTTGTTGTTCCAATTTTTGTCGGAGTTATGTCGGCCATTGCCGTGACTATTGTCGTTGTTGTTGTTGCCGCCTTTGTCTCGGCGGTTGTCGGTTCCCGTCTTGCTCTTAAAGTATGTCTGTAGGGTGAGGATAGACTTAGTGTGGTCATAGAAGGACTGTGGGTCGAACATGTTGAGAGCGTCGTCCTCGAAGTGTGCTCCTGCGGCTTCGCGAACGTTAGCCATGCGGGTCTCGTGCATCTTAACAGCCATTCCGCCCAGGTGTTGGCGCATAAGGACTGCAAAGCTGACGGAAAGGTCCAGAATCTGGTCTGGCTTGAGATGTTTAGGGTCGATCTCCTGAAGCTGTCGGAATTTTTAGGGTTTTTTTAGGGTTTTTTAGGGTTTTTTAGGGTTTTTTAGGGTTTTTTAGGGTTTTTTAGGGTTTTTTAGGGTTTTTTAGGGTTTTTTAGGGTTTTTAGGGTTTTTTAGGGTTTTTTAGGGTTTTTTAGGGTTTTTTAGGGTTTTTTAGGGTTTTTTAGGGTTTTTTAGGGTTTTT